GATCACCCTGCATTTGAATTTCTTCACTAACATAGACTTCATAGTCATTAGAAAACTGATTTACTAATTCTTTGAGACCTTCTGGGGCCTCAGTTACTGGCACTTTCATGTGGGACTGTTGTTGCTCTTCATTGCCAAGAGACAATTGATTCTACAAGCTCCTGTATCACAAGATCCTTGGTTACATTATTCATCTTCTTCGAAGAGCCAACAACAACAGGTGTTGTATAAGTCATACAACATCAACAGGTATCGAGAAATTCATTATTTTGAATCACTAAAGTGGGCACGTAGTCCCGCTTCCCTTCAAGTCATAGGTCTCTACATACCGTGCTTCTCCAGATCATCCCATCTTTTATAAAGATAGTGTATCTTCCAATTTTTTATTTGGGTTCAATCTGTTAAAACCTTATATGACGCTTTAAGCACCACCTTAATATCTTTGATGGTGATTACGCTATCTTCCTCTCGGAACTTAAAAAATCTTGGAATTTAGCTGTTTCTCTGCTTAGGGGTATCATTGTTATGACTGACGGTCACATTTATCAAAAACTTTATCTCACTCTTAATGAAGAGTACACATTCATTAACATCTTTATCTCACTCTTAATGAAGAGTACACATTCATCAACATATTTATCTTACTCTTAATGAAGATGAAGAGTAGTTTCTTAATTGATCTTAATTCTTACTCTTAATTCATCTCACAATTCTCCCCCTCGAAATATGGCATGAACTTTACTGCCATAATTTCGAGAACTATTCAAAAAAACTGTGAACGATGGACACTTATGACTTACTTCATTATTTCTTGATCTGTATAGGAGTACACTGTCCACTTCAAGAACTCAATGAGGTCTTTTATGAGCGGTGCTTTTGCAAGTCACACTTACATCTTTTCTTATCTTTTGGTTAGTGTTGACCATGACGATGTATTTTCTATTGTGCCATGGTCAATACTAGGATAGCATAAGAGCTATCCAACTTCTCTCGCTATGCAGGATGGGCTAGCATAAGTACTATGCTAAACTTCTCCCCATGCGGGATAAATCTATATACAAACACGCATGCTTGATCCAACGTTGGTCAAATTAGACATGCATGTTACTTATTACAACTCTTATCATAAAAACATTCACTTATACTTCATTTTCCAATTAAATCTCCCCGTTGGTTCTAATTTAATCAGAAAATTAATAAACTAACAAAAAACAGTCCTGAACTGGTTTGACTCAAGCCTTTTCATTGACATAGCCCAGCATTGCAGCCCGTTGACATGCAGCCGAGTGATTTCATTGGTAAAATAAACAAGGTGCTTCTGCATCAATTCTACATCACCGTTGGGTAGAAAATAGAATTAATGCATAAACTCATAAATCAACTTGAAATACATATAACTACTCTTTAAAATTAAATTCTCCCATTGGTTCGAATTTCATTAGAAGATAATTAACATCATTGCAGCGAAAATATGATAATAAAATATATTCTATTAGTTCAGGAGCATTTCTTGGTCCTTATCTACTCTCTGACAAATTGACCATGTTGGTGTAAAATTTATCAGAGATTTAAACTTTAAACTTAAATTCATTATAATATTGTTATCATCAACGTTGGTCAGAAAATAACAATACCATAATCTAACATAAACAAATTAGACTACTCCTCTAATTTAAATTTTTTCGTTGGTTCCAATTTAATTAGAGGATAAACATAATCATAATTTATTAAAAGTAACTGCTCTTCAAATTAAATTCTCTCATTGGTTTGAATTTAATTAGAAAATAATAAGCATTAAACTTTGCAGCGGAAACATGAGAAAATTTTTTATCTACTTTTCAGAAGCATTTTACTGTACTCATCTACTCTCTAAAAAAATTATTCCGTTGATTCAAATTTTGACAGAGATTTAAACTAAAACAAATTTGCTTCTGAAAATAATAAAACAAAACTCAATGTGTACTGTTCATTTGGCCTGTCCTGGGGAAACAGTCCGCGGCCCACTCGCACGCACGCACAACGCCTCCCTCGCGACCAGGCCGCAACCTGGGCCTGGGCTAGGAATTCACTCGTCCGCCTGGGCTGAATCCGGCCTGACTCGCTCTGAGCCGTCGATCGCAATCGGATGGTTGTCCGGCCATCTCGGTGGATCAAAACCGCCTGCGGCCGGCTCTCCCCGGAACCCTAACTTCATTCGCTTCTCCCCTTTCTCTCTCTACGCCGCGCGCATCACAGCGGCGGCCAACCATGGCGGGCAGGGAAGAAGTGGTGGCGCCGCCATGGGGCCCCTCGCCGACTAGCGCACTCGCCCGAGGCTAAGTGCGCCGCCGTCGAGCGGCCTTGCGACGTTGCCCTTGACCCCGAGCTCGAGGTGGAGGGCCGCGTGATGGCGTGACCTCCCCGGCCGGCAGCTCGGGTCTCTGCCCGCACGGTGGCGGTGCCTTCGTTCCCGCTCAAACGACGGTAGCGCCGGCAGTGGGGAGAGCCCAGGTAGGTCACCTCCCGCACTCCGACTTCTGTTGCTGGGTTAGGGTTGGGGTTAGGGTTAGGGCTTGATCCGAATCGAATCGAACCACCTCCTTCTTTCTTTTTGAGGCGGAAGATGGTGGCGCCGTCGTGGATCCCTTTGTCGGAGCTCGCGTGCGTCCGTCACGCGGCTCCGTCGAATGGTCTCACGGCGGTGCCCTTAGGCCAGAGTCCGCGCGCGCACAGAGGAAAAGTAGCGACGGTGCTGTGCGGCTCTCTTCCCGCACGCCATCGAAGCAGCGGCGCGGTCTTCTTCCCGCACGACGGCGGTTGTTACAGCGGTGGAGGAGCTCTTGTGAGCCCCCTTTCTCGGTCTTCTTCTTTAGGGTTAGAGTTTTGGGAAAAAAATTCTATTCGATCTTCTATTTGCTGCCCCGATCTAGATCTACACCCTAGAAAAACTTGGCTCTGGTACCATTGATAGATAAATAGAACCTCTAGGTGTTGATCTAGTGGGTAAATTCTTGGCTTAGGCAAAGAACATGTTGTGTACCTCGCCAAGCAGTGTCGAGGTAGAGGTATCTTGACGCGCCCGCTAGGTCGCCGAAGGTAGCAGCAGTGTAGACGCGGACCAATGGCGACGGCGAAGGCGGTGTGGGCTTCCCGTCGCTCATAGCGCGCCCTCTAGATCGGCTTAGGGATAGGAAAATCGGTGGGGCGCTGGCGGCTGCGGTGAACCTCGTACTTTGCGCCTCGGCCTCCACCTTCCTCTTTATAGCGCTGCGCGACGGGGGCCCATCAGTCAGGAGAACGGCTGGTCGCCCTCGATCAGGACGCAGATTAAGGGCCCAATTAGCCGTTGGGCCAACTGGTGGAGATCAATCTAACACTAATTACCACTGGAGAGCATACACGCAGAGAGTAATGATGCAAACAAACAACAAAGCCTGTCATTCCCAAACAAGTTGGGTAGGCTGAGTAATGATGCAAACCATGAACAAAAAAAATTGGGCACATGACTGCAATTCTATTTTGAGATTCCATCGGTTAAATTACGCTAAGGGCCTGTTCGGCAGGACTGAAAAATACTGTTCCGGCTGATTGTTGCGAGGGAAAAATACTGTTCTGGCAGAATGTGAACAGTGATTTCGTGAATAGCGGAACAAGCCAGCCGAACACGCCCTTAGATACGAACTTACAGTAAAAGTTTAATGAATGTTTCATCCCCATTAAATAAGATGACAAATCAATAAACAAATGGAACTATGTATTGGAGGGAGGTGTTTCATTAATAAATTCAAAACTCTCTTAATGACGCAGGACCCTCGAAAACGACAAATGAACGCTCCACTGGGAACGACAAACGTAGCGTTCAAGGCTCAAGGCCTCAAGCAGCCACTTCATCCAGAATCAACATGCCCACTCTTCTCTTGTCCTTTTTGCAGTGTTGCATCAGTGTTGAATCTTCTCTTCGTTCTACCAGCTAATACATTGCTTACCCTTTTTTGATATATCTTTTTCTTATAAAAAAACATTGTACAAATCAACCAAATTTTACATCAATCTAATACAACAGTTACAGATGCAGTCTCTTGCTCTCTTTCATGAAAAATTAGCTTGAACGTCAAAGAGAATTAGAAACTGAGTATCAAAGTATCAGCATTCACACTACAAGCATCGTGACATCTCCATTCATATGAGAATGCCAATTGGCTAAAGAGAGAAATGTTGTATGACAAGAAAAAAGAGAGAATATTCTGATATTAGTGATATGGCTATGTTTAGAGCACAAGGGGCAAAGTATAAAGGTTTTCAAAGAAAAAGACATGTTTACGTGTAATTTTTGTGTAGGTGCATTTCATTTATTTTAGAAATCCTCCCACCGTTCCAAATTAGAAGTCGCTTTGACTTTTTTAGTATATAAATTTTGCTATGTATCTAGATCTACATTATATCTAGATACATTTACATAGTAAAATTAATATACCAAAAAAGTCAAAGCAACTTATAATTTGGAAGAGTATAAGACGGGGCTTCCAGCCTCCAGGCATAAAGCAAGACGAGCAGAGTTAACTTTTAAGCATCTAGCTAGACAATACTAGTCACAAGACAAATGCGTCAGTTTCCAAAAGAAGCTACAGACAAATAGAATTCAAGTTGGACAAGCGCACCACACTGTCAATAATAAATTACAGTGACATGGATCTTGTGGCAGGACTACAGATCATGCTAAAAGGACCACCGTCATCACGCATTCTAAGCTCTTAATAGTCCCCATCCTGCAGATGTTTAGAAAGAAGAGCATGAGCGGTGCACCTGTGGTATCATAGTACCCTCCCACCTATACTAGGATAACACAAACTCCCAGCACATTACGCTTTCATGAGTTATATGAAGCAGAGCAGATAAATGTACAGGCAATTCTGACAAATACCAGCAATTCTGGTAGTGATATAAGTTTCTACAAGATTAAGCGATCTTACACAAATGCAACAACGAAATGATGCCATGTCGAATAAGCATGCTACATACCTCTAATTTTGACTTAGCTTCAGAGTCAAATGTCTTGCACAAAATCTCATAGCTTTTTCAAGTCCTATCTGAGAAAATAAAGGTATCCATGTAAACCATGATAACGATATGAAGAATTTCCCATGCTTATAAAAAGTTAAGTGATACTGTTGGTTGGAATGTTGAATAATACCTGAGGATCGACTCGTGATGGTGAGGTACTAGATATCACATATCTGAAAGAGTGAAAGAATTAGACTAAAAGCAGAGCAGTACACAAAAGATTAAGCAACCATAAGGTAGACATCTAGTGTACATACCTCAACTTGGTATAGAAAGCCATCGCTTGAGTGTTAGCTTTCTGAACTGTTAGCATCACAGCTCCCATTTGGTTCTGCATGCTTATATAAATAGTTTGGATTGTCATTCTTAATGAGGACAGCGATTGAACTAAAAACACAAGAAGTGGAAAGAAAAAAAAAGTGCAGTAACAGTTCATATCAAGAAAAATATTCAGAAGATATGAAAACTAAATAGTTAGGATGGTGAACAGATCACATTACCTTGCAAGCCATCTGTTCAATCAACTGCATCATAAACTTCCCCAGCCCCTTACCCTGGGCAGAAGGCTCCATTTGTAGTTCATACACATAAAGAACAGGCAGCTCCTCTTCCACAACAAATCTATAGTGTACAAAACCAAGCAAGCAGCTTTCACTACATGCCGCATGCATATGTTCCACCTCCGTGCCTTCCTTCATGGAATTTTCAGTAATAAAACCATTAGAATATTGCTTCACAAAGATATATCGTGCTTCTGGGACCACCATCTCCCGACGCTTAACTTTCTCTTCTGAAGGCCATTCTGCTCCATAGGGTTCCTCCATGTTAACCTAAAATTTGTCTACTCGCATCACATTCAAAGTGGGGAACATGTAAAAGTAAAATTTGCAATATGCTGTACTAACAACAGGATGCAGTGCAATAAAATGCATCTAACCTTAAGAAGATTTTGGATGTACTTCCTCATTGGTAATGCGAGTTGATGACCACGTCCAGACTCTAGGTACACTGAAAGACCTATATGTAAAAAAAAAAAAAATGAGCTTGACGTGAAGCACCCAGCATCCAGAACACATGAGACTGAAAACCAATAAACACTGTGCTGAATTGCAACTGCAAAGGACTAATTTTGCTTTCAATTTTGCTTGCATGACTTCTAAAGATAAATTTTGTTTCGAACCATGGAAAACATTAGGTGTTTTGAGTGATAACATGACATTAGTAATTCAACAGTTCTGTAACTCTTTTCTGCAAGTACAAAGTCAATGTAGGTTACCATTTCTCTGATATTTATGGAAGTCAGAGAATAGAGCTAGATGGTCCTTCACAGCTACAGCTTTCCTTATAAGTTCCTCGGTCGCTTTCTTCCTTTCCAAAATCTACACAAGAGAATAGAATTATCTGTGTGAGCCCCCAATTTATATACCTATATGTATCTCCATTAGTTCTAATTAAAAGCAGATTCAGACACCAAGCAGAAAACAACAACGAAAGATGATTGGCCCCGTTCGCGTGCCCTTAAACCCGGCATGATCCGCTTCTTTTTTCATCTGGAACAGTATTTTCCTCTCACAAATTCCTCCAGATTCATTCAGATTCCTCCAAGCGAACGGGGCCATTGTCACAAGGTCAGCAGGACAACAACATGTCAACCTGGTTGATGGGTCAATGGGCGCGTAAAGTTGTCCCTATAGCCTACATTTCATGTAATGAACTATTTGATCTTATGCAGAAAATTTATCCAGCCTGAGGAGCCCAAGAACTTGCAGCGATTTCCACCTATCTCACTCCTCAGCCAGTTGTTGAACACTGAATGAGGAGTGTAGTACCCCCGATAAAATCTTGAAGAGGCCTCTCCGTATAACGCCAACAAATAAGTATTAGAAACCTACGAGAGCTTTCCTCTACTACCCATAAGCATTACTAGTAGATTTTCTGTGGCCATACGCCATAGCAAGCGCAACTATGCATTAATCAATGGGGGTAAAGAAAGACCAGGAAGTCGACAAGCAGGACATAGGAGCTGAGCGATGCCAACCCAATCGAGAAGAGCAGAGAAAAGAGAAGGACCTCCTTCCTACTTGGCTTCTTCTCTGCTCGACTGCTGAGCCTGGGCCTCTTGTTCTCCGCCGTCGCCATGACCGCTTCCCCGTCGTCTTCAAGATAGGAGGGCAGGCGGCAGAGGTGCGTTTGATTTGAAGGCTGTGACGGGACGGGATGGGGTTCAGAGTCACAGAGGTATGGGTTCGTCCAAAGGAGAATATGCTCACCAGATGCGGGACGGATCGATTCTCCCAAATCAAGCGGACAGGAGCGTCCCACTTCGTCATCGCGCACCATGTGAGGCGCACCTGCGACGCCTGTCACCGCCCACCCCTAATCGCTCACCTCCTCGTCCGCTCCCGTCCGGCGCACTTGGACCTCGGCGGTGGTGCTCCCATCCGAGTCCGCTCGTCGTTCGGCGTGAGCAGGTCGGCACCGTCCGCGTTCTCTCCGTCCTCTTACGCGAGTGTTGAACATCCGCTCCTCCTTCCCCGTCGGGCGTGATTGACTGCTGAGCTTCGCTCCTCCTTCCCCATCGGCAGCGGCTCGATGCGGAGGTGTGATGGTCGATCCCCTCAGGAGCGGCTGAAATGCGGATGACTGGAGGACAGGAGCATGGCAACTTCAAGGTTACTGAGTTAAATGAATCGTCGATCCATTAACTGTTAGTCACGTTTCATTTAGCTTCATCAACTATCAAAGTGGTTTTTCTAAGTGATGCATTTATAGTTTATACCCTTCATTTCTATTTTTAATCTAACATGGATGTACACAGTGGCGATGACCTGGCTTTGGAGACACTAACAGCGCACATAAGCAGCACATGAGAGGGCCGGTATATTTGCACTCATGTCCCTGGCTTCTCTCCCTCATTTCATTCTCTCTTTCCCCAAAATATCATCGTGCTTGTCGAGACGGAGGGAGGCGAAGGCGGTATGGTGGATGTGGCCGGCGGCGGCGGTGATCTCCTATGAGCGGCGTCGATTTGCCGGTGAAGTAGGGTGGTTGCGCACCCGTCACTGGTGGGTGCTATTGCGGCCCACGGCGAATCCGCAGGATGGTGGCCACCAAGAGCAAGGAAGGGGAATCCCCACCCGGTGAGTGCATCCATGACCTACTCGCAGCAATTAGTGGTTGGAAGCCATAGTTCATAAGTTGTGCTTGAATATGGGTGATGAGATTGCAACCTTTTGATGGTTAGGGTTTCGGATTTGGATTTCCCCCCTTTTTGTTGCCTGTTTAGGGTGTATTGATCTGGTTGTGGGTTCGTGTTGTAGGGAATGATGATGAAGAGTTCACTGTAGAGTTGCATCATGGCGGGTTGTTTGTTGGTCAAGGTCAGAACAGGGCTACCATCGGCGGCTGTCCCGGGGCGTCCGCCATAGCGCACTCCCAGGACGGACGGTGGCTAGGTGCCACGTCGCCGATGCTGGAGCCGTCGTTCTCAACCTCGTCATCTAGGAGTTCGTAGAAAGTGGTGGGAGCATAGCTCGCCATTCCCACGAATTCGGATATGAGAGGGGGCGGCGCCAGCGTCCTTCGGAGCCCCCGAGCGTACGCGTCCACGGGGGACGCGAGGCCGTAGGGGAACCGGTCGTACGGTGGTTGCGGTGCGGACAATGCGGTCCCTCCGGATAATCGGCGGAAGATAGTAAATAGCGAGTAAATAACAGCATGTACATTACTCACAGCGGGGTTTGAGCAGAGCATTTGCTCAGAATGAAGCGCAGGCGCCTCGTCGTTGAAGTCGTCGGGTGTCCCGGAGCCGATGGAGGGCGCCCCTCCGACGGGCTCCGGAACAAGTGTCTCCTCGCGGAGGTGTAGTACACCGAGTCGGTCGGCGACGAAGTCCAGGCTTCCGAAGAGGAATGCCTAGGACAGCTCAAAGACAGGTGGAACCCACGTCCCAATAGGTGGGAGTGCGAAAAACTCCAACGAGCCGAAGCGAGTCGTATCGCTTGAGCCCGCCATCGCGAAGGTGGCGAAAAAGTGGGCCATCTGATGACTAAAAGTGTGAACGTGCAACGTCTTCCTCACGGACGGTGCCAACTATCGGTGCAGAAAGTGACCAACACGTAAATATTTGTAGTTTTGCCGTACGTTGTGATCGGATGTGGCCTAGCACTCAATGACACCGGGTTTATACTGGTTCAGACAACGTGCCCTACGTCCAGTTTGAGTCGGTCGGTGACTTTATTCCTGAGCCCAGGTGGTCGAAGTTTGCTGTGGGGTTACAAACAAGAAGGAGAAAGATGGGGTGTAAGAGGTCCTGTCGGACTCTGGTCTGAAGGGCCAAGAGTGACAGGAGATCCGCTATGTGCTAAGTGTTCGAGCGTGCGCTCTGTGTAGCTTTAGAGTGTCAAAAACTAGCATATGGTGAATCGATGTAAGTGAATTGAGGGATCCCCTGTTGGGAGAGAGCACATCCCCTTTTATAGATGAAGGGGACGACCTTATAAGCAAGAGAGAGTACGCATGTTATTAAGTTTTGTTGCCCATGCCGTCGGATACAAGCTGATGGTAGGTGCCCATAATACTGTTGTTGTCAGACGCATGTGGGAGATTTTATCGTATCCACCATGTATGGTAGATGACGGCGCCCATAACACTGTTGATGTCCAGAGGCATGTGGGGGGAGCCTTACCGTGTTTGTCTGGTATGGGAGTTGATGACGCCTACAACACTATAGGGCAAATGTCGGCGTCCACAACACTGCTTGGGTTCTGACATGCCTGGAAGGTTGCAGGGCACCCTTCTGATGTCCTATCGGTACTATCCTACAGGTGTACAGAGTACGGTCCTCGATATTGCGGTTGACTTGAGTGCCCCGTCTTACTTGCTCCGCCCGTTTCCTGGTCCTTACCGAACGGGTGTCCCCGGTCAGTTGGTCCCAGTTGGTTCCGACTGTGCTAGCCGGAGAAGAGCTGTAAGCAGAGGTTTCGGTGTATCTCCGATCAAAGACGTGGGTCAGAGTCGGAAGCAGTGTCGTTCCTCCTCGGTTAGGCCTTTCGGTCGGAGAGGCGGGCTGAAGTCGGAAGCGAGGCCTTCCGGTCGGAGAGGCGGGCCGGAGTCGGAGGCGAGCGAGCGCCTACTCTGGCCTGTCGTTAGGTTTTTAGGCCGGCCCAGGAGTCGCGCATTTGTTTACGATGTTGTCCGCTGGGACGAGCCTTTGCTGGAAAGTCGGTCCATGAGGGACCCCGGGTTTATGAACCCGACACTGTATATTATGCATGTGCCTCCGCGGCCATACCATAATTGCATCCCGACTACCTATATAGCTCCGCGCTAGTAGTCGGGACGACATGCGCTCCACGTATATTCTCTTTTTCGTACAGCGCCGACTGTTATAGTCTTCTCTTAACGGCTGTGAAATTTCCTGAGTATCCATGTGCGTGGCAGCAAGTGCGGAGCACGAAGCTGTATCCACGGACATGTAGCAGGCACGAAGCACGAAACTACATCCATAGACATCTAAGAGTATCATTATTAAAAACGGGTGGACAGCCGGCGCAAGCGTCCGGACGTTAATGTCTCCCTGGATTGACACCGCACACAATGACAGAAGCGCTCGTTTCTAGTACTTCACCGATCCACGTTGGCGTTGGCGCGATTGACCGTCACGGTGAACGGCAATATGATTCGCCGTCACGGTCGTGAGACGCCGCTGCGCATCGCAGCATTCAAGCTGACGGTCTTTGGGGCGACGGTCGTAATTGTGGCGTCGCCGCGGCCGGTGACATGTTTCTAGCGCTGATGGCTTGGCTCGTCGGGTGGCGGTCGCTGTTCCCTGTTCGTGCCAAGGGCCTGCCACCACACGACAATTCACATGCAACCTGCCCCTTTTAGAACTAGAATAGCGGCTATACACAGTGACCTTATTTTTATCACACTTGGAGAAGGAAGCAAAGACAGTTTTTGACACTGTTGTCCTTTTCTTTTTCAGAGTCAGTGGTTTCTGTTGTAACGAGTCTGATTCTATGATTGACATATTGAAGTTGCTCGCAAAAGTAACAAATCCAATAGCAGTTACAGTATGATCTATCAAGGAAAACATGAACTGTACAGCGTGGCGATATATAACATGTCAGAGAGGAACAAATCCATAAAGCATCAGCTAACACCTGACGGTGAAAGTTACCCTTTGAACATGCAAATTGCTTCTTAGCACCGGATAACATATACAGAAACTAACGCGCCAATAGCTAACAGCATTTTGAGTACTTAAAACAATTAAACTATGCTAAGTTAGATATGAACTAAGAATCCCTACTGTGCAGATTCTTCAAGCTGCCAATTTGCCCAGAATCGCCATGTCCACTATTTTCACATCTAAGCTACCTTCCACCTTCACGATGCCATCAGACCCATCAAGTCCAATGAGCTTTCCCGTGGCTCCGCGCAAGGAGCCATTCATTATCTTTAGCTTCTCGTTTTTCTTCGGCCTGACCACCTCTAGCTCGTTTGCAGTGATGATCAGTTCATCTCCCTCACCCAATGGCCCAAGGGATACACGACATGATCCATCCTGCAAATTCAGATTCTCAGAGACGTTAGCACTGCAAAGCAAATGAAAAACGTTGGGGAAACAAAGGTTCACATGCGCTCGTAACCGATGTAACCACATACCAGGAGCACTTCCTTCACCACAGCGTTGCTGACCTCATCACCTCCCCTGGAGACGTTCACCAAAACATCTGGCAGTAGCCAGCTTCCCTCAGCCTCGCCACCTGCAAGCATTTGGACAACAAGGATTCATTTAAGTGCCTCCAAATTGATGATCCATTGACGACTCGATTCTGCTCAATATGATCCTGACTGTAGAATGTCTTTCACTGCAAATGCAACAGTACAGAGAAGGGCAAGGTTGAACCTATTACGGGAGACATTAGTTCCATTCCACCATAGCCTGGAGTCATCGGCTGGCCACTAGGAGTACCAACCAAATAGGAGGCAGGATCCGGGGTCATCGGTTGACCAATAGGTGTTGAGGGAACATTCGTGCTTGGGGTGTTCACCGACGCATCACCCCAACTTGCCCACCCTGACCCAGGAGTGGGAGCTTCGTATGGTCGAGGTCGTGGAGTTCCTGGCTGATTTTTTTTAAGGAAAAAAAAACAGAGATGGAGAAACACAATCAGTTGCCAGCAAAAAGTTTAATGATCTCCAAGATAATTACAAGAAAGTGGCTCACTAAACCTGGTAGGCTGGACTGCTTGCCCAAGTGGAATCTCCATCTTCCCGGTTGTCCCTGTCAATAACAGAAACAGTAAGCAATCAACAGTATAGATGCTATTGCCAAAATTTAAACGAGATGATTTATGTTCTTAAGCTGATTTATTCAAGCTATCAAGCTATCAGCTTATAAGACAATGTGCATCTAGCAAATTTATATTGATTTGTATTCTGAAAAAAGACATACAGACCTGTGAGGACTCAATGGCACCCAGGCTCGACTAGGCATAGGAGTTCTCATTACATCTCGAACTGGGGTCGCTGTAGAAATAATATAATATGGTTACCAGAAAAATAAATGAAGACATACATGATTCAACAAAATGGCAGCAACTACACATATACGTCATTTTATCCGGTTGTGTTGGTTGAGAATGGAACCAAAATACAAGAGTGCTTACTGATATCAGTTCAAGTGCTAGGCAACAAACAAAAGTGGTTGCCTCCATAGAGATCGAATAACACAAATACTCAAATCCTCTTCAAGTAATCAAAGTAGGTGCAGCAGAATTATGGTACTTCTCTATCAAACTAGGGATCATACCGTCCAGCTTTCCTAACTTTTTAGGGAACACAATACATGTGGAAGCCCAGAAAAGGTGACTCTTGCATAATATGGTTAATGCTAAGAGAAGATGAAATTAACAGTCAAAGCAAATCCTGCAGACCTCATGTTCATTCCCAAAATGCCAAATGTTTACTAAGTAAATTTTAGTAATCTACTCTTAAACAAAGCGTAATAAAGCATGTAATACACACCTCCAGGATTCCGCATCGGAGTCTGAATAGGATGTAGTGGCGTTCGAGATGGATGCACAGGTGTTTCAACACCCCTTGAATAACAAGTTTCACTGCTTATACAACTCGTCAGCAAATGAAACTAAACAGGTCAACCAAATATAGAAATATGGATATGGATGATGAGCAAAAATGAAAAGTTACCGAAATGGTGCTGCAACAGCAGCTGTGTCGCCGATATCCTCCCTCTTAACTATATATTCGCACAATAAATATATTATTAGAACTAAACATAAGAGAAACAAGTACACCTTCATTTTAAAAAAAAGTACACTTGCAACAGACTTACCTGTGACAATTTTCATTAGCGATTCAAGCTCTACACGCACAAGCACACCAGTTAATTCTGTAACACGGCCACGATATCCCTTATATGGCCCAGATCTAATTTTGATACATCTGTTCACCAGGGTATCATTCCCTCTGCCACCACTGTCTCTCCCTCCAAACCTTCCACCAGCTGAATAACATAGGAGGCATGCATTATTGTATAACACAAGGGAACTGACTCAATTTGCTATGGATAAATAAAGAGGCTACTGGAAACCATAACAGCAGATATTTTTTTCAACTTAAATACATTCGTACAATTCATGTGAGGTCCTCTTGGGGGCAGCCTCCCTGGAGACTGCAAAATCCTTGCTTGAGAGCCAAAAGCATGAAAATGTGGATCTGCTTTATCCATGGCCTGCGTAAGATTACAAAAAAGTATGGTCAGACACAGTATTCTAAATTCTAAAGTACATTAATACTCCTGCCGGTCATAAATATTTGACATATTTAACATTTGCACGGTTTTTTTATGTGCATCTTTGACCATTAATTTCTTCAAGAATATATTCTTAAAATCCTTCAAATACATGAGATTTTGCAAGTATTTTGAATGCACACATATACTACATGTTTTCAAACTAAATAATGTAATAGTTATTGATGTTTGCAGTTTTTAAGGATTGACCAACTCTTGAGTATATATTAGCACATACATTCCCACGGTGGCTGCCAGTTGACCCCCCAACAAGGAAACATGATTGTGCTTTTGCACAGATAAATCCTGAATGCTCAAGGTAGTGGCAATCATAGATAAAAAGTATGCCTCTGTGTATATGTTCCACAGGACCTTGCTTTCCCTGTAAAAAAAATAGATATATAAAATATACTCAAAACAATCATATCTTCTGATACAAACTGAAATGTGCAAGATCATGTGAAGTTAGACACACCTTACATGCTCCTTCAGCAACCCTCACAACATCCTTAGTTGACACAATGTTATTGTACCGATCTTTTGCCGATGTGCGTCGATCAATCTTACATTTTATTTCTCTCAGTTTTACAAGGACCAATTCAGGTTTATCAGGCACACCTTTCAGAACCTAGTTGTATATTAAGGTCAATATATTAGTACATAAATCATCAAATCCATGAAACAAGATAGATATAATCTGCTTGCCTGAAATGCTTCACTCTCCAACCGTATAATAATCCCAAACGATGAATTGCTGAAAAGTTGAGAGGAATGAATTAGTTCATATCCATTCAGAACAAATTGTTACCAGATTGTTTTTCAGTAGATATGATTGCTTTCCTTAACTACTATTGTATATATATATATATGGTTAGACAGGATCCTAGCATGAATGCCATAGAACCTCATGTAAGAAACAATATCGAGATCTAGATATATGGTCACTAAAGATTAACCATAGATATATATAGTTAAGGAAAGCAATCATATCTACCAAAAGATATAATTCAATAATACAAAACTCGAGCAATAATGGTTCACTAAGAAAAATAACTTACTTAAGAAGAACAAGGTCGTGCAATTCATAATCACCAATCCTGGTAACCCCTGTGGTGACCTCAGAACTCTCCACAACATGGTCTGCAAACACACGGATCTATAATCACAGAGACAGTAAAAGGTCAGTGCATATACCCCCAAAAAAGGTGTTCGCTAAGCAGCTATTAACACATCAGAAAAGCAAAAATATCTCACATGTTCTTTGGTAGTGTCTGATAAAATGATCAAAACATGCCCTTCCACTTTAACAACCATGCCTATCGCACCCTCTTGAACTCCAGATATGACTTTTACATGGTCTCCAGGATTGAAATATTTACAGAGATTCGTCTCACTGAAGGCAAGTGTTCTCTGTGATTATGAAGGAAAGTGTCCTACGTAAATATTGATCAAATATTGTAATTAAATCATCCTTAAAATAGTAACTCAGTCTGCGAGTAACTACCGGAAGCCCAGCTAGTTTTGGTTGAATGTGCACAGTACTATCCTCCACCTTCTCAACAGAGCCTTTTAAGTTCTTGAGGTCACCCTTAATTACAATTACAGCATCACCTTTCATGAAGTGGCCCTTTTTTCTGTTTGTAAACAGAGTGGACAAGCTAGCCACATCCTCATTGAGGTCATCACCAGGTTTTTTGAATTTCTCTAATTCATCAAATGTTGGCTTAATATTTTCCGTGCTGATCGATTTTATAGAGAATGTTTTGTGCAAGAAACCATCTTTAAACAGCAAACTACCGACAACATCAAAGTATTCCCCAGAATCTCTATTCCTCCTTCTGTCAACACGGATGTGCAACTCCCTGTTTCATTTGAGTTAGCAAATAACAGCAAAAGGCAATAAATACAAATACAAAACACTATTACAATGATAACAGGGATGAAAAGCACCTCGCCTCATCGACACTAAAGAACCTTGGTGGTGGAATGAATGACTTCTTCGGGACCTCTTGCCCATCCTGAAAAGACCAGAATATTCATTCATCAAGCAAAGTGATTGAGCAAGCACCAGAAGGAGCATGACAAAGAAAAGGCACAACTTTTTTCCCATAAGATGGGATATAGAAAACTTCCTCTAGATATGTAGGCCTCAGTAACATTTTGAATACCATTGCAAGAAAACTAATCAGAATCTCCCAAGAAAGGAAACCCTGAGATCATGTGTTCAAATAACATAATAATCATGTAAAACCTATAAAAAGTTACCCAGTCCACAGAAGATGCAATACCATACAGTTTTACGTAAGTTTTGCTGAACAATAAAACTCAGATATATTGCTAGTAAGAATAAACTTACCAGTTTATTTGCCAGCACTTGTAAATCAATTCTAGGAATGAGCTTAACAGTAACCTTTCGGCCCACATTGTCAACATCAACAACCTAAAGGTAGTCCAAACAAAATACAGAGAAAGCCTGTTAGGACAGGAAGTAGCTCCTTCGATTGTAAACCCCTTTAAACATGAATTTCTTCTTAAAACTTTATAACCGGCTCTCGTGTGTATTCTAAGGGACTGGAGACAGCAAAGATCACCCTTTATACCTTAGCAAGATCACCTTTATACATACCAAGCTTCACCCGAACCCATGAGTCCCTTGAAAGGTCAACAGATTTGCTCTCAATAGAAAGGACATCAGCCATTTCTCTTATAGGAACTAAAGTTGGTTTTGTTGAAGCAATGATGTTCCGCAAACCTTTGCAAGCCTGAAATTAAGTTCAGTTAAAACACAGTACCAAAATGAATAAAACTGTCAAGTGAAGCACCACTTACCTCTTTGACATGGGCTTCTTTCTCTGCTTCAATGTAAATGAAATTCTTTAGGTGTTCTAGTGCAACAACAGATTTTATCTGGAGATCTGGCCTATCAATGAACTTTTGCATTAGACAAACCGCTGTTTCCCGCTCATGTCCGATCTGAAGTCATAATAAGATATTAGTGATGTTCAAATGTACAGAGAATAAATGGTGGAGCAGATCTTATTCTTCTAGAACTTGCAGCTAACCTACCACACATTTCACCATCCAAAGCTTTGGGTCCTTCACTGATGGTAAGAGAGCCTGCTGTTCAACCTCGGTAACTTCCTCGTCATAATCAAAATGGGATGCTTCTTTATATCTGTTTTGTAGTCGCCTCACAATCTCTTGCATATCCTCATCGTCTTCCAACATAGAGCTAGAATGAGGAATAGACCTCCTTACCACATCATTGTGACGAATTTCAACCCCAGCATCAGTATCGTCAATAAAGCCTGATAAAAGGCAAAAGGTGCACAAGTCATGGCACTGACACAGATGTTTCCTTGCCTGTGCTTCTCTCTAATGACGATTCAACACAAAAGTAGTCATGGTGAACTGCATCCTGGTTCTATTTAACCACAGGAATGTCATTGCAATTTAGCAATCAATTAAGTATAACATTCACATTGTCCAACTGAGGCACTGAGCGCTATCCGTTGGAAACAGAAGAATGACAAAAGCAACAACATATAATTAACAGATACAACTAATGTAGAAATCCTATATTTTCTTAGAAAACGATTCTCTCCACACTGGTATACTGTTAACTGGGTGTACAAGCCCTCGAATATTTCAGGGGTAGGTGTAAACATAATGTAGACAATTGATAAGATTTATGGAGCAGGAACTAGGTGCTTCCTTCGAGAAGATCTCCAAATCAATATGAAATCCCCGAAATAAATGAAGTTCGGCTCTGAACTTTGAGGGTTGCAAAAGCTCTGCAGAAACCATCACTACGTAATGAGACTAAACCAACACAACCACGTTAAAAACCTAGCTGACGGGTCTTATTAAAACACAGAATCAAACTATAAACCGACAAGTAAACGATTCTGCATTTTTTTCCTGACAACTCCCAAATGGAATCGATGTCCACATTATTGTTAGTCCAGAGAAGAAACTAACAATGCATTTGTCAGCTATGGGCCGATGCACGGCATAAAATGAAAGCAAACGGTGCAAAATCGGGCAATTTCACGGTAAATTCCGCAAATTAGGATATGGTAAGATCAACCGAGCGATTCTACACACAAGGTTGGAAGTTGGAACTGGAACCCGATCGATAGGGCAATCAGCGACTCACCGGGCTCGACATCCGAACTATCGTCGTCGATGTCGTCGTCGTCGTCGACCTGGGCCATGTCGTCGATCAGGATCGACGACCGCCTCCTCTTGGAGGCACGCCCACGGCCGCCGCCCCCATCATCGTCGTCATCATCGTCCGAGTCCTCGTCCTCGCTGGCCGCGTCGTCGATGAAGCTCTCTACGCCGCGCGACCGCTTCCCGCGGCCCCCGGCTCGCGATCTCTTCCCGCCCCTCTCTTCCTCCTCCTCCTCCTCTTCCTCTTCCATGTCGTCGACCCCCTCCTCCTCCTCGCGGCTGCGGCAAGGCATTTTGGATGCGGCCGCGGCAGCGGTACTAGGGTTTCGGGCCCTCCTTGATGGTCGACAAACTCGGCGGCGTGGCTTGGGCGCGGTGAGGGCCTCAACTCCTCGAGAGCTTGTGTTGCAGACTCGGCGAAGTTGGGTGCGCGGACGAACTGGGCGGAGCCGGAGGAGGGGCACTAATATTGCTGGAGAGGGGTATTTAAGGGCTGTAAGCCACGAAAGCCGTCGGACCGACTTCTAAGATGCAGTGTTGTGCAGTGGTCGTACAGTTCTGGGCTGTGTTTTCTCCGGTCATGGGCCAGTGTGATTTAAGCCCTGTCTAAAATCCAAAAAATTTCAAGATTTTCCGTCACATCAAATCTTGCGGCACATGCATGGAACATTAAATGTAGGTAAAAAAAATAAATAATTACACAGTTTGCCCGTAATTAGCGAGACGAATCTTTTAAGCCTAAATAATCCATAATTGGACAATTTTTATCAAATACAAACGAAATGCTACAGTAGTAAAAAATTTCGTATATAAACGGGGCCTTATTTTGGGCCGGACTTGCCCGTAGCAGGAAACGGATTGGACTCGGACGCGACTCTACTCTCTTGTTGACTAGTACCAACCACTGGTAATGATGTGGCCGACGGCCCATCGGTCCAGCAAGGCCTTTGTTCTTCGCTCCAGCCCGATCTGGCCGTGTCGGCATATCCGCGTGGTACACGGTACACGCCGGATATGCTTTTGGATTTGACCCAGGATACGCCATGTGGACAATGCAGAGCTAGGGCTCAATCAATTCCTCCTTTTCGTAGCAGAGACTAACATGTCCGTGCGGACCTTGATAAGCCACTTGATCCTTTTTTTTTGCAGGCATGATTAAGACAAGTAGAAGGCTCAATTATCATATGTGCCCCCACGGATACTTCAATCATGTTGCTCTTTTTTTTTAGAATGTTCAACCATATGTTGGCATGAGTCTGAAATTCACCCTTTCGATAATGCGCAGGATATAGGGGATTGTTTATCGTGCCTTCTCGGTAAGGTTTGCACGAAAGGATTCTGTAAAATCTTTTAAAAAAATGGGAACATACTGGTTCTACTTCATCCGTCTTTAAACTTCTCCGTCAGCTCTGAATCGTAAATCATTTGGGTTTTCTAGATACATAGAATTTACTATACATCTATCTAGATATAATTAACAATTCAAAGTTATATTACTCTCGCCTCACTAAAATATATATATTTAAATGTTTATGTTTAATCAAGTAAACAGAAATTATCGTAAAAAGTTAAGTAAATAAAGGAATGGAAGTATCGTTGGATTTGTTATCCAAAAGTAATTTTTGTTGGGAAATAATAACCCTAAGATAATTATGAGCTCATACCAAATATACCCCCGAAGGGTTAAGACTATATAAAGGAACCTGTACCCATCTATAATGAAGAATAGATAAGAGTTCCACGATATTTGCTCTCATGTGTGTTCATCTGGTGTGCTGTTGAGAAGGGATACGGGAAATCATTTACAACTTCCTCACGTCTCATCTGCTGCGGGGAGGGAAAGGAACCGAACCAGGGATCCTCAACACCGCTGTTACTTAACACGTTATCAGCACGCTCTACCGCTACTCATCAACGACGGTACTCATCAACGACGGTACGATGTTCTTGATCCTGTTGGATCCATCCGCTCATAGATTCGTTCCTGTTTTCAATCTACATCATTTTTCTCTGGCTAGTTTACTTGTTCTAGATTGATCTTTATCGTTTATCTCACGTAATTCCTCTGATGGCAGCCGTCACCACGTGAGCACTAGTACGCTAGATTAATAGATTTGTTTTTACTAGCTACTAGAGTATTTGATTATGACATCTTGAACAACACAATCTCGTAGATTTGTTCGGCTAGCAGCCTAGACGCGTTCTAGATTTTTTAGTATAACAGATCCAATCTTTGGATACTAATTTTTTTTTAAGAATCCCAGTAGATTGGTCTTATTTATTGCTAGTTTGAGTAATAGATTGATCTTGTTTTTACCGATGATATCTTTTTATCTTCGGTCTGCCACCTGACATCGGCCACCCATCATGCTGTGCATGTATGCCGGTGTGTGCTACTACGCCATCCATGGACATTGGCCATACCATGCATGCACGCTAGTTTATTTCAATTGTTTTTATGTTGCACCGCCGGCCAACCCAACGCGTTTGACATGTAAGCCAGCAAACTTCCACGCGTTGTGCTGCCTGAAGTTGCGCATTACTTATGCATGCATCGTGGCCCCACTGGCTACTGAAACTTGCGACACCATCATGGCCCTGATGGCTATCTTGCGATGTCGGCGGCTGCAGACCACCGTTGTATGCCTTGCGTGTATATTTTTTATGTCACTTTTCTTTTGCGTTGATAATAATTCATTTATGGCTATACATACTACTTGATGCTTATTTACTGCAAGTTAATTTGCATGAATTAATAGGCAATGGCTTCGATCAACAAGACGGAGTTCAAGGTTCTTGAGCTCAATGGCAAGAACTATCAAACGTAGGCACTCGACTGTGAGTTCCATCTACAGGCGAGACTCCCACGATCGCCAAGCCTACAGCCGATGTTCCTGCTCCGCCACACCATGACAAGGCAAAAGCTTGCATCTTCCTGAGGCATCATATTCATCCTGACCTGAAGATGGAGTACCTGGAGGTGAAAGACCCTCTGGTACTGTGGGTGAAGCTTCAGGAACTCTTTGGCAAGCAGAAGGCAGTGCTTCTCTCATAGGCCAGGCGTGATTGGGCACAACTCCGCTTCCTCGACTTCAAGACAGTTGAGGCATATAATACTGCGATTCACCGTATCATGGCACAGCTTCGCTTTTATGACCCGGTCGTCACTGAACTCGAGATGATTAAGAAAAATCTTGAGACTTTCCACCCCACCAACATGATACTCCAGCAGCAGTACCGTAACAAGTACATGAAGTACTGTGATCTCATCAATGTGCTGCTTGCTGCTGAGGCTCAGAATGAACTCTTGATGAAGAACTTCCACATGCGCCCTGCTGGGACACAGGCACATCCTGAAGCACATGCCAGTTTTCGTAACAACGACGATAAAGGTTCTTTCAGAAACAAGGGCCAAAAGTTTTATGGTCACCAGGGTCGAAAAGGAGGAAAGTTTAAGAACAGATGCCAGAAGTCCAATGGCAATGGCAAAGGCCAGAAGTTCAATGGCAATGGCAAAGGCAAGTCCCTGAAGGGCTCAAAGGATGAGGCAAGTGGAGGGAATCCGTTGTGGATCCCACCAGCATTGCTCCCGTACTTACACTACTGACCCACACTTGATTGAGCTATATCAAAAGTGGAAGAAGCGCCAAAACCCAGAGGTACACTTCGTCCAGGCATCTATCGATGCCGTGACTAGACTACACCTCTCGGAGCCATCAGAGCCTACAGAGAAGCTTGAATCAGCGGCTATGGATGTTGATCATAATGTCACCAATGATCATGCTGCTGAAAAGGGAGATGCCTATACTGGTGATGATGATTTTGACCTCGATAACGAGGATCTCCTTGACAAGGAGTAGACCAAATTATCAGCCATTTGTTTACTTATTAGCCAGTGTGATTTATTTTCAACAAAACAATTAAAGTCCTGTGTGATGTAATAATGCTCCCGTTGAGCAACTTCATTATTCTGTTAGGATAAACTCTCGACATGAATGGTTTGGTTCATAGCATTATTTTAATCAATTTATAGTGCTCCGTTGAGCAACTTTATTATTTTTGTTAGCATTAACTCTCGACATGAATGTCTTGGTGCATAGCATTATTTTAATCAGTTTATCTCTTGTTCGATTACTTGCTATCTTTTAATCGGCTTGCTATATTGATTATACATGACGGATTAAATTAGTACTATATTTAATAGAACAAGAGTCGTACTTTCTATGGAGGCTAAAGAAGAATTTTGCCTGGTTGATAGCGCTGCCACAAATAGAATACTTCAAGAGACAAAATATTTCCAGACACCGCAGAAAAAGACTAAAAATATTACCATGACTGTTGGTCGCAACGGCCATATTGTAGGCTCCGGTCGAGCCATGGTCGTACTCCCTAATAATACCAGCATCTTCATATGTGGCAGAACCGCCTAATCTAATGCCTCACAGGAGTGCTTGTCTTCCATTAGACACTAAGCACTCGAGGAAGAACACTAAATTACTCGGTTCCGTCGGACACACCCCAGGGGAGAACCCAAAAATCTACATTTTTGTCATCAGGATCATAAATGAGAGAATAAAGCTTACATCAATCTTAACCATTTCTTACCTCACTTTACATGTACATCAGAGTATAACATTTATTATTATAACAACGAAATGTAATCATATTATCAGAGTTATGAACAATTTAAGGTAACAGCGGAATATAAATATGTGATCAGAATTACAGCAGAAATAATTATCTATTCATGACATGATGAAGCATGGATAAATAAACTACGACAACATATTAAGAAACTTTCATTTATAAAAGCATTTTGTGAGAGTTATAAATAACAACTACAATCGCAGCGTAAAGGAATCCTCGCTGAGCCCACCAGGAGAAATCCACACACAAGATCAGCTTTAGCATCCACCTGTCACCTGCAACAGGGGGAATAAAACCATGAGTACTCAATTGTACTCAGCAAGACTTACCCGACAGGAGGAAAGAAAAAGACTCTAAGGATATGCAAGGCTATCTGGCTGGTGGGTTTATTGCATTTGCAGGAAGCATTACTAAGTGTGCGTCCTTATATTCGATTTTTATTAATAGCCGCATTGGTTCATTAACTAACCATTCTATGTAAGCACATGTGCTACTTTCAAGCAGGTGGTAAGCAATCAGATTTCCTTCTTCCATCTTTCATCTTTCAGTTCTTACTACGATGCTAAACCGTAGACAAGCCGTACCGGATCGTCCGGCGATTCACGAATCAATGCCCCCAGCTAGGTACCCCGAAAACACACGCCCCGCTTGTACCCCGGGCACAAGCAGGACCAACCCATCACTCTCCTGTCCCGGGTGTCCAGGTCTCCGTCCAAACTGGGACTTCAAGCCCCCGCCCCTGAGTCCCGGACTCAGTGCGGTGCAAGGACCTCCTCCACCAAAAAGAAACCCTAACAGTCGGTCCGAAAAGAGCCAGATCCACGACAAGATAGCAACAAGTCTTCCAAGCGCCCATACACAAGTATGTGCTCGGGATAATAAGTCTATGACTTGCCTAGAGTCATATGCAACGATCGGTCCTTAACCGACACAGATAGGGAAAGCAGTGTAACCAAGCCATGCCGCGCGTCCACGGCAACACAACTTCTTACACCCACCAATACCCAAACCATATCCTTGTCCGGTCACCATTTATCATTTTCACCATTTATATTTTTCAAGTGATAATGATATAGTAACATATTTCCTATAGCTCGCGAGTGACAAACAATCACTCGATTTCTACCGGAGTCCTGTAGCATACATTCTACACGATCCTGTCATACTAGTAAGACTCATAGGATAAAGATATATTTGCAAGTGGGTTTCATTCAACTCTTGACAACTTAATGCACAAATATAATTTAAACTATAGAAAAGTAGGGGTTATATACCGGGGCTTGTCTGGGTAAGATAGATATTAAAAAGTTAGCATCAGCATCTTTAGATCATCCACCATCAGCTGGATAACAAGCCCATTGCATCATCTCCTGGAGAGAATAACAGTACACCATCTTTGGATTTCCAATCATCCTTCAATTGATCCGTTGATCCATCATCGTACCTATATGATATGCATGCGATGCAATGTAAAGATGTAATTAATCAACTGCAACCGTGATCCGTAAAATACGATTTACGCCTCTCAAGTTAACGAGCTAGTTCTAACGACGACCGTACTTAGGCTGCATATACACGTGGTCGGATAAGGCGTTATTTCCCAACCATTGTTTTAGTTATATAAACCAAAGTGTTTCTTTATTTTATTCTATCGATTTAATCATTATTCTAAATAGGACACCATTATCTATTTAGCAACTAATCATTCTGGAGCTACAAAAATTACCACGAGTACCTAATATTGCCAAGAGCCTACTGTATGAATTTCAGATTCAACAATATCGCCGATTTATCCCAACAATTCATATAAGTTATATTTTTACAATATTAATTATCCCAATTTAATTATACAGCTCCTAAAAATATCATCAAACTATGTGAACGAATTACACCAATAGGTAGATCCTGATTTTTTAGACTCAACAAAACTGGTTTCACAATTTTTGGATAACTACACAAATGTATATTGATTTTACAATTTTTATCCCCGAACTAAATTAGCTACTTGTTTGAGAAATTAAAGGCCAGGGCCATCAACCGGCCCAGCGACCAGGTCGGCCTGGTCCAGCGGCGAGGCCTCCCGGCGGGCGGGCATGCGTAATGCATGGCCTAGTGCAACGCAGCGGTGGCCCAATAGGGCGCGTGACCAGCCGGCCCAAGCGGCACGCGGCCACGGCCCAGCAAGCTGCAACGGTCCAGGCACGGACATGGCCCAGGAAGCACCAGGTCGGCCCAATCGCGGGCGATCGGCCTAGACGGTTGGAGGCGCGGCAAATATGCAAAACAGCCCCTGCGTTAACCTCTATTCTATGCGAGGTCCTTATGCACTATTTAAACGGGTCACATATTTGTGTAAAGAACCCTGTATAACGTTTCTTCTTGGATTTATACCCTTTTCTCACCTCATCTCCTTTTTTCCAGTATAGCAGGCGGAGGAGGCCAGGCGGCGGCGCAGCGGCAGCACGGCGAGTCTGTCTCAAGGAGATGCCCGGTAGGGGCAGTGGGAACGGCCATGGCGGAGACACAACACGGACCGAGGGCGTGCTAGAAAGGCAGCGGTGCTTGCGTCGGGCCAGTGCAGGTAGTTCGCGTGCGCGGCGTGGCGTGAGCGCGTGCTGAGGCCGGGCAACGGCGGCTCGGCGTGCGGTGGATCCCCGGAGGAGCAGTGGACCAGCGCGGGCCGGGGGATGCGCGCACTCGCGAGGAAGGAAGAAGAAGGGATAGCGCCCTAGGAACCATAGGTCCAGTGCTGCCGAGGGCGCGGCGCTGGCGGGGCCGGATTCCCCGGCACCGGCGAACTAGGCGCGCGGGACACAGGAATGGAGCGGCATGGCACGGCGTGCACGCGCACGCGGGTAAGAAGAAGAGGAGGCGCCGGTGCGGGACGCGCGGGGTGCTGCGGCTCGAGCGCGGCCATGGCGCTCGCACACGCACTCACGAGGTCCGGCGATGGACGGCAGCGAGGCGGGGTGCTACGGCACCAAGACCCGCACGGGCCAAGGAGCAACACCCGCACGCAAGGGCAGGGCACGGTGGCGCAGCCATGATGAAATCGCTTTCGGATGGGCGAAGCTGGGAAGGCACTGCGGTGACGGCCGAAAGATGGTGGTGCGGCGCAGCGCAATCAATGGCAAAGAAGGCGAGGCCGAGGGGCGCGCGAGTGGCACGGGTGCACGGACCGGGCGCGCCAGAGAGCTTGACCAGCAGCGGACACTGTGCGTGGGGCGTCGGCGGTGCGTCCACGTGGGCTCGGGCACAATGAGGCTCGCGCTTTGCGCTTGCGTCGCGGCGCTCAGGCGCTCGAGTAGCGCTAAGCAGCGCAAAAGACGCACGCGCGTGAGGAGGAAAAAGCGTGGGCCGGGCACACCACGACGCGACGCACGCCACCACCACGGAAAGGGAAAAGTGCGAGGCGGTCGTCGCGCGCACAGCAGGAAAAAAGCCCAAAAAGAGAGGAAGACGGCGGAGGCAATGAAGAGTGGCAGACAACGGCTCGGACTCGGCGCTCAAGAAGTACGCGGGCAAGTGCGGTAGGTGGATGGCAGCTCGGCAATGCAATCGGAGACAGAGGGCAGACCGGGACAAGAGGAGGCAGAGACGTGGAAATACGTGAGTTGGAACTTTGCTCAGGCGATAGCAGCTCGGCGTGGAAAATCAATTGGAGACAGACATGACCGGAGAAGACAGGAGCAGACAGGGGCAGGCAGAGGCCAAGCCAAGGAGATACAGAAGACAAACGCGCGAGAGAGAGCGAGGCCAACTTGTACAGAGGACAGATTTCCACCGCAAAAAGGGAAACTCTCGTCACCATTCATGCATATAAAAATAGACCCGTGAGTCTATATATATATATCATTCTATTTATTAAGGACTTTTATTCTATTATAACAGTTGCTCGTCATGCCGAATCTTAAAGATCAAATCGTTCGATAGCATTGTTATCGGACAGTCCTGAATATC